GAAGGAAACCACCTCCTCATCCTTCTTGAAAGAAAGTAAAGGGCGTGCGCCCCCTCCTCCCCCCCCTCCCTCTGAGGGGAAAAGACGCGAATGAACATCCTCCTTTTCCTTCCTGGGGGACAGGGAACGGAAGGGAACCGACTCCTCTTTTTTTTCTCCTGAGGGAAAGAAAGGGAAGGATTGTCCTCCTTCTTCTCTCCCCCTGCTCCTCCTGTGGGAACGGGCAGGGGATGAGCATCCTCCTCCTCTTCCTCCTCCTCCTGATAGAAAGGGGCAGGAAGGGGGCCTCCTCCTCTTCTTCCCGGAGGCAACGGGAAGGGAAGGAACCTTCTTTCCCACTTCCCCTTCCTCCACCTCATGTTCATCCCTGTTGTCGGGAAGAGGATGGAAGGGGAGGCACCTCCTCCTCCTCCTCCTGCTCCTCCTCCTCCTCCCCTGCCCTTAATGAAAGGGAATTGAAGGAAAATCCTCCTCCTTTATCCTGAATGAAAGCGAAGGGAAAGGTGCCCTCCTCCTCTGTCCTGAGGGAAAGGGAAGGGGATGAGCCTCCTCCTCCTCCTCCTCTGCATCCTCCTTCCTGATGGGATGGGAGGGGAAGGGAAGCTCCTGCTCCTCTTCCTCTTTTCTGGAAGAAAGGGAAGGATCTCAAGATGATTGAGGGTCTCCCTCTCTCAAGGCCCCTTGTGTGGGGGGGTCACACATAGTGTCCCGGTGTGGGGGTTACACTTATATTCCTTTTGTGCGAGGAGGTACAATCACACTGTGACGGACACATAGATTTCCTTTGTAGGTGGTTACGAAGAGATTCCTTTTGTGTGAGGGGGTACACATCGAATCCCATTGTGGCGGAATTGCACATCGATTCTGTTTGTGGGGGGCAACAAAAATATTCCCTTTGTGTGAGGGGCTACAAATTGATCCCCTTTGCTGCGCAATTACACATCGATTCCCTTTGTGGGGGGTGAAACATAGATTCTCTTTCTGTGAGGGGGGTACAAATTCATTCCCTCTGTGGCCGAGGAGGGGGGGGGTGGCTGGCCCTGGGGGAAAGGTCCCAGCAACAAGGAAAAACAAAAAAAACGGCCCCCCTGAATCCACTGGGCCCGTTTTTTTGTTGTGCTCGGGCGGGCCCGAACAAAAAGGAACAAACAAACAAACAAAAAACTGGACCAGTGAATTCAGGGTTTGTTTTTGTTGCTGGGACCTTTCCCCCAGGGCCAGACCCCCTCCCTCCTCCGCCACAAAGGGAATCAATGTGTATCCCCTCGCACACACACAAAGACTACATTTGTAACCTCCCACAAAAGGAATCGATTTGAAATTCCGCCAAATCCGCCGCAAAGGGAATCGATATGTAGGCGCCGCAGAGAGGGATAGAGAGGGAAAGAGGGAGACAGAAAGAGAGAGGGAGGGATAGAGAGAGAGAGAGAGACAGAAGCATGAAACCCTCAGAGAGCCGAAAGCTTGTCTATTCATCCAGCGTGGAGCTGAAAAACGAAACACATAAAATCCCCCAGGCCCCCTTTGCGCCCCAAGCCCAAAATAATTGTTCAGAAATGAGAGCTCAACAGCAACGAGAAAGAACACACACACACACACGTTTTGGCATCGCTGCCATGCGCGCAGCGGCGCGGCGGATCAACACACGCACACACACACACATACGTACACACACATACGCACAAACAAGAACAACAGGTAACCTTTATCAGTGTGTGGGCCCTCGCTGGGCCCCAGACCACCAACCCAACGACAATGGATGAGAAGCCGGCCACGGGGAAAGGCTGCAGACTGCGGGCTCCTGAACGATCCGCCTCTGGAGGACCCCCTCAAATCTGATGTTGCAAAACATTCGCCACATATCAAGAAATCGCGCCCGGAGCCGCAAACCTCACCTCTCTGAGTCCTTAACTACTCGGATGGGTTCAATCAATCTGTGAGGGTCCCGGGGCCCAGAACCGAGCGAAAACGCCGCCCTCGCAGAAAAGACTGCGACGCAAGGACCTCAGGATCGCACCCTGGCCCCAGGAGGCGTCTCAAAGCTAATCGTCGAGACCCGCCCCGGCAGGGGGGGGGGCAGCCCGCCGCGGCGCTCCACAAAATAGTCGGAGGCTCGAGCAGGGAGGCCTCGCCCGGGCGGTCTCTAACGGACCTCGGAGGGGGGGCGGCTGCGGAGAATATCATGGGGCCCGGGGCGGAGCCAGAGCCTGCCAGACACGGGCTGGGCACCAAAAGAACGGCCCGTGCCAGGCCGATCCTGGGCCTGAGATTGGCGACCGGCTCGTCTCTGCGCAAGGTCATTCCTGGCGACTCCGCCTCCTCCTCCTCCTTCTCCTTTTCCTCCTCCTCCTTCTCCTCCTCCTCCTCTCATCAGCATCACCATCACCATCGCCACCACCATCAACATCACCACCATTTGTATCACCATCACCATCATCAGGATCATCATCAGCAGCATCATCATCACAATCACCATCATCATCACCATAAACACCATCATAGTCACTATCATCATTATCAGCATCATCATCATCAACACCAGCAGCATCATCATCATCGTCATCATCATCGTCATCATCATCATCCTCATCATCATCATCATCATCATCATCATCGTCATTGTCATCGTCATCATCATCAGCATCAGCATCATCATCACAGTCACAATCATAAACACTGATTTTTACGAGGGGTAATAATAAGGATAATACTTTTAAAATCGTCACCACCATACTACGAAAACTAACAACTAATACATAATAAGACTGGAAACCTTGTAATATTACGAATGGTAATAAGGATCATACCAATACGACTACTAATACTCATCATCATCGTCATCAACACCACCATCAGCAGCATCATCATCAACACCACGACCATCATCATCATCTTCTTCATCATCATCAGTATCATCATCATCATCATCGTCGACAGCAACATCAACATCAGCATCGTCATCATCACAATCGTGATCGGAATCATCATCAATGTCGTCGTCCTAGTCATCCGAATCATCATCACAATCATGCTTGCCGTCGTCTTCATCATTCTGAGAATCACGATCATGATCACGATCACCACCACCACCACCACCACCACCACCCCGGAAGCGGCCCCTGGACGCCTCGTCGATCTGTTGGAGGCGCCACACGTCTGCGCGGCGCCTCGAACCGTGACCGTGATCTCTTCACGACCTGGACACCCAAAGGTCGAATACCAGGGACCAGGAGGAGGAGGAGGAGGAGAAGGAGGAGGAGCTCCAGAAGCTGGAGCCTGGACCAGGAGGAGCAGGGGACCAGGGGGAGGAGGAGGACACCCAAAGGTCGAATACCAGGGACCAGCTTCTGGAGCTCATCACGGGTAGTTTTGTGGACTGTCCGGGGCCCAGGCGGGGCCCTCCCAGAGAAGGACAAGCACACCGAAAACACATCGATGATTGGAGCAAGGGAGACTGAGATGTGAGAATCCAATAATACCTACTTCCAACGACCAGCCATCCAATAATACCTACTTCCAATGACCGGCGGGTAGCGGTAGCGGTATCTCTTCCTTCGGGCGCGCGCTAACACGACTTGGGGATATGTGGATCTGGCGCGTGGGCGCCACGACCCGGCCACGGATCGAGGAAGGGTGCCCCCGAAACATGAAGCTGAGGCCGCCCGACGTGGCGTCGGAGCGCGCTGGCTTGGCATGGAAACGGGACCCGCCGCTTATCGACGCGCCCGAGTCCATGTTTGCGCTTCCTCGGCTTGGGACGCACAGGGACATAGCAGTACGACGTGCCCTCCCTGGAGGCGTGCGTCTGGCCCGAGCGCCCAGTATAGCCCTCTTGTAGCGCGTCGCCTCCCGAGAGACGTGGCCAGAGAGCGCCCGCCACCGCGCACGTCCGGGACTTCTCGGCGAGCGCGCCGGCCCTCGGGGGGGGGAGGGGGGGGGGGGGGGCGACGCACCCATCGTACTGGCATGTGGGGTGACGCCGACGTCGCGCGTTCTTGTTCAGGACATCGACCCGCAGAGGTCTGGATCCATTCCCCAGGACCTGCTTTTCATCCAGAGTCGCTGGCTGACGGTCCCGAGGCCCCGTAAGGGCTCCGTAAGGGCTCTCGGAGGTCGAAAATATGGAACAATCTCCTGTGGTGATTTTTGGTGACAACGCGATGGGGGCGCCACACACATGGTATTAGTATGTTGGGGTGACGACGACGATGGGGAAACAAAAGGGTACCAATACCACTACTTCCACACCTCTTCCGGGGCGCGTTCTAACCAGGATTTCGAAGCGAACCCAGCGGTGGCGACGAGGGCCTCCCCAGGAGGCCCAAAAAGAGGAAAACGAAGGAAGGGTAGCAATATAGGTACCTTTGCTCCTCCGAGACGATTCCTCCTCTGACTAGGCGCCGGCGGTCAACCGTCAACCTGGCTACCGCCGGGGACCTCGTAGAGCTCGCAGTCACTTGCCATGGTCGTCGTCGTCGGACACTCAAGGCAATCGGTTGCATGATGGCTTTTCTAGTGCGGCTCGAGTAGCAGACTGAGCTCAGGTCTCTCGCAACTGCAGGTCGACACTGTCGTGAGGTCGGGCATGTCCCCCTACAGGTAGATTTTGGACGAAGAATCAAACATAGTCCAAACGTACTCCAAACTGCCCAGAAATACTAAGAACATCGTCCCCTGACTATTTTTTGACTATTTCTGAACATTCCCACTGTAGAGGGACAGGCCCGACTTAAAACTATGGGTACCGTTTGCTTCTCCGAAAGGACTCCTCTTCTGAACCGTGGCCGTCGTCCACCCGAAGCTGCTCCCGAGACCCTCTGTCAGAGGCGACGATAGGGGCGAACAGCCCAGGGGAAAGCAAGACGTGTATTCAGGTGCGCCGATGATCTTTGCCTTCGAGAAGGCTCCCAGGCGAATGCGTGTGATGCCCGCCCCTGGGCTATTCGCCCCCACCGTCGCCGCCGACTCTGCCGGCCCCCGCTGCCGCCGCCCGGCGTCGCCGCCCACCGCGGCGCCAAGTGCGCCAGGCCCGGGAGCCGGCGGAGGTTGATCTCGCCTGGGCGGCGGCCAGCGGGCAACCCCAGGCACGGTGGGTTCGCGCGGCGTCGGCGGAGGGAATGGGAGGGGGGGAGGAGGAGGAGGAGGAGGAGGAGGAGGAGGAGGAGGAGGAGGAGGAGGAGGAGGAGGAGGAGGAGGAGGAGGAGGAGGAGGAGGGAGGTAGGAGGAGGAGGAGGGAGGAGGAGGAGGAGGAGGAGGAGGAGGAGGAGGAGGAGGAGGAAGAGGAGGATGAGAGAGGAGGAAGAGGAGGGAGAAGAGAGAGGAGAGAGCAAGGGGAGGAGGAGGAGTAGGAGGAAGAGCAAGAGGGAGAGGAGGAGGATGAGGAGGAGACACGAGGAGGAGGAGGAACAGGATGAGGAATAATAGGAGGAGGGGGAAGAACGAGAAAGAGGATAACAAAGAGGAGGAAGGAAACTAAGGAGGAGGAGGAGGAGGAGGAGGAGGCGACAATGATAATGATGATGGTGATGATTCTGATGATGATGATGACGACAATGATGATGATGGCGATGCTGATGATGATCATGATAACGATGATGCTGGTGCTGCTGGTGATGAGGAAGCGGAGGAGGACAAGGAGGACGAGGAGGAGGAAAATAATAGGACGGCGAAAGCGAGGGGGAGGATGAGGGGGAAAACGAGAAGGAAGGAGGACGAACAGAAGGAAGAGGGAATAGGAAGAGGAAAAGGAAGAGGAGGAGGAGGAGGAGGAGGAAGAGGAGGGAGGAGGAGGATGATGAGGAGGTGAAGGAGGAGGAGGAGGAGGAGGAGGAGGAGGAGGAGGAGGAGGAGGAGGTAAAGGAGGAGGGGGAGGAGCAAGGGGAGGAAGAAGAGGAGGAAAAGGGGTGGAGGGCGGCCCCAAACCGCCCCGCCACTTGCGACTCCCCCGCGCAAATGCTAGCGATTCGTTGGCTCTCGAAGCCGTGCGCCGCCGACGCACCGGCCGCGCGCGCGCGCCGCGGGCTCGGCGGCGCGGGCGCGCGGGCTGGCCGGGCGACCTGGTGCCCCGCATTGGCGGAATTTGCCAGCAAGGCTGTCCGATGTTATATCGTTATATCCCCTGCGCCCCAGCGACCGCGGCCTGAGCGCGCGCGCGACAGACCGAAAAAACGCCGCGCCCCGCCCTGCACGCCGCAGACCGCAACGCGTCGTCCCGCGGCGGCGGCCGGGCACGCACTACCATCCGCGCGAATTGTCGGCACTCGGCGCACGCGGCATGCCCTTAACCCACTGGGCGCAGTTGCCGCCGATCGCAATCGCGCACTCGGGCAATGGGCCGACAATCATGCAGACTGTAAAGCCTCGCAGCTTCTGCCGCCGTCACGTCGCTGAAACGCCTGGGGAATTCGCGACGGACCTCGAAACGCGACGAACAAGACGCGCGCCCTCGCGACCCATATGTTGCCCGGAACTCCGCGCCCCCACTTGCGCGCGCATGGCGGGACAGAAACTAACCTGCCGGCTGCGCGTGCACGGCGCGCCCGCGGCGAGCGGCGCGGACCTGGGCGCCCCGCGTGTGCGGCCGCGCGCCAGGCGCCGGCGCTAACTGAGCCCAAACGCGTTTGGCCCCCAGCTGCGCGAGCAATGCCCGCTCCACACGGCTGGGGGCGTCTGCTAGATCTGACCAATTCGCCGCGCACGGCTCACGCATGCACCTCGCCGCGGCGCCGCGAACGCGCGCGCGCGGCGCCCGGCCGCGGCCGCGCCTGCATCGCCACAGTTGCGCCAGAACTCGGACGCCAGACATGTGACCGCTGGCCCCAGCGACTTCCTGGAAAAGAAACCGCGGCGGCCCCCCAGCGCGCGCGCCCGCGCAATCGGCGCCGCGCGCTGCGCCGGCACTGCTGGGGCCGAAACCCGGCTGCCAACGCGACGCGGCCATCCGCCGCGCCTGCGCGATTCGCGTGCCGAGCGCGCGCTGCGAGCCAGCCATCGGGGGCCTGAGAAGCGCGACTGGGAGAGCCGCCTGCTGCGCTTGTTCCCCCTGCGGCGCAGTGCCGGAGGGGCGCTCGCGCGCTCGCGGTCGCCGCGCCTCGACGCCGGTCGCCAGGTCTTCGAAGCCGCGGGGGCCGCTGGCACGCCGAACCAACTGCACCATTGTGGCACCGTGCTGGGGAGCCGCGCGTTCGACGCGCACCGCGAAAGCGACGCGACGCGGCCGCTCGCCCGCCGCGCGCAGATCTCGCGCGCGGGGGCGCTGCCAGGGCAGCAGACGCGAGCGCGGGAGATGTCCGCGGCGCCTGTCTCGCGCCGCGCAGACGCAGCTCGGCGGGCGGCTTCGCTGAGGCCGGTCTGCCTGATCGCGCGACCCGCGGACGCGCGCGGCACTGCAAATCCCCCGCGCCCGCGCCCCAATCCTCGCGCATCAACTTCGGCGCGCGCGGCTGCGGCGCGCCAGTCCCGGCGCGGCGCTCGCCCTTGCCCTTGGCCGCGCCTCGACGCTCCAAACACTTGCCGACTTGCCCCAGCCTTTTTCGCCGTTCGGCTAGGTCGCCCCCTCTCCTATGCGGCCTGCGCGGGGATGCCCCTTGGAGCCCCCCCTCTGCTGCCGCTCGGACAGGTCAGGGAAGCCGCGCTCCGCGCGCCCCCGCCCGGCGCACGCGCAAGCTCCGTCATTGTTGCCGCGCGGCGCGATCCACGACGAAGGAGCTGGCGCCGCTGGAGCGACCGGACCACTCGCACCTGGCCAGATCGTCATAGACGACCGGCACGGCCGCGACCTCCCGCGCCCCTCGCGCCAGGCCGCGGGGCACGCGAGCGCGGCCAGCGGCGGCCGCGCGAACAGGGGGAGGGGGGGCGCCTGATGCGCGATCTGCACGACGACGTCTTTGCGCACCATTGCCGCCGCTGGGCGAATCTGGCCCGCGAAGGGCGCGGTCAAGGCCCAACGGCCGCGCGCGACCGCCAGCGCCGCGAGCGCGATGCCGAGCAAGTCGGCCGCGTCGCCCAGACCCGCGCGCGGAAACGGAATGGGCCTTCATCGCCAGTATCGGCCCCGCCCTGTCCGCCGCGCTTCTCGACCGCCCGACGGGGGCGCCGCGGGCGGCGGACATGGCCACCGCCTCGGCCCCTGCCGCATTCGCCGTCGCCCTCTCGACCGCGCGACCCAGGGGGGCTACGCCCCCGCCGTTGCGATCGCCCCCGGCAACGGCGCTCGCGCGAATGTCGAGCCCAAACAGGTCTCGCTCGACCGGGGGCGCGCAACGCACTCTCAAGCCGACGACGCGCTCAGCGTTCGCCGTGACTGAGGTGGCGCGGAGCGCCGCGACTACGTCGCGGACGCAGTCCTCGTCGCGCTGGGCGCGGACGTCGACAGTCGGCGGGGGGACTTGCAACTCCGCCCCTTCGCGGCCGAGCGCCGTCGATGCGCGCGGCATGCGCGCGCGCGCTCGCGAACCGGATGGGGGCCTCGTTCGGACGTTCGTTCGAGAGCCGCTCTTGAAGCGGCGTCGAACCCCCCAGTGACCTCGCCCAGTCGTTCGCTCGCGATCCCAGTTCGGATGCGGCGCGAAGTCGAAATGGACCTCGCCCGATCCTCGCGCGGACGCGATCCTCGTGCTTCTCGCGCAGGCGCGGTGCAGACGTCGAATCAGACTTGGCCCGGTCTTCGCTCGCGATCCTCGGACGGGCGCGGCGCAAACGTCGGAGCGGACCTCGTTCAGTCGTTCGATCCCCGTCCGGATGCGGCGCAAGCGTTAAAACGGACCTCGTTCCGCCGATTGCTCGCGATCCGCGTTCGGACGCGGCGCAGAATGGACCTCGTTCGGTCGTTCGCTCGCGCTCCTGATTCAGATGCGGCGCAGTTGCAGAAAATGAACCTCGCTCAATCGTTCGCGTGTGATCCTAGCTCGGATGCGGTATCGGACCTCGTTCGGTCACTCGCTCGCGATCCTCGATCGGGCGCGGCGCAGGCGTTAACTCGGACCTCGTGCGGTCGCTCGCATGTCGTCCTCGTTCAGACGCGGGGCTGGCGTCGTAGCGGGCCTCGTTCGGTCCCTCGCTCGCGATCCTCGATCGGATGCGGCGCAAACATTAAAGCGGACCTCGCTCGGTCGCTCGCTCGCGATGATCTTTCGGATGTGGCGCAAACGTCGGACCGGACCAAAGTGGGTCGTTTGCTCGCGACCCTCGTCGGGTCGTTCGGATGCGGTGCAGACGTCAGAAACAACCCGCGCGGTCGTTCGCAGGAGCGACCCTGACCTTCGAGCCCAGCAAATCGACTAGTAGTTGGACGCCTGCGGGGGGGTCGGGAGGAGGAAAAGAACCTGCGAACGAAGACGCGACGCGCGCGGGGGGGGAGGGGGAATCGGAACCTGCGCAGGAAGGAGACGCGGCGCGGAGACAGCTGGCGCGCGCGCGCGGAGCAGGCGGCAGACGGCAGCGCAGAGGAGCACGCAGCAAGCGAGCGGCGGCGCGCGACGGCCCGCCGGCGCGCGCGCGCGAAGCGGGCAAGCCGCGGCAGGCAGCTACGCAGGGCGCAGCAGCACGCAGCAGGCGAAGCAGCACGCGCGGGGCGACGGCCAGCGCGCATGCGCGCGCACCCCGCGCTCCAATCCCGGGCGCGGGGTGCACGCACGCCCCACGTCCTGCATACAAATCCGCGAACCTCCACAGCGCCGCGGGGGGCGCGGGCACCGCGCGGAAGGGCGCTTCGGGTGGCCTGGGCGCCGGTCGCGACGCGACCCAGCAACGGGCGAAACGGGGCGGGTTTGGGCGGGTCAAGCCCCGATCGCGGGGTGCACGCCTCCACGTCTTGCACGCAAGCCCGCGAACCTCTGCAGCGGGCACCGCGCGGAAGGGCGCGGACCTGCCCGCATCGCCTGCGGCGCGCCGCGACGCGCGTTGGCAGCGCGGCGACACGGCGCTATTCGCGCAAGCGTCCGCCGCGCATCCCTGGGGCCAGCGAGTGTGTGCGATGGAACGAGGGGCCGAGTTCGTTCTATTAGAATATAGAACTTCGACGTGTTCAGCCTCCTGCCCAATCTTCCAGGGCCGCGGGACTGTCAAAACCCAACTCAGGATAAAAAACGGTCCCGAGGGGGTCGACGTCATGAAAAAACATGATGTCGAGGGTCGGCTGGCGCAGCCCTCCGAGGAGCCGACGTGCTCAACCCGCGCGTCTTTCCTCGATTGCGGTCCTCGGGGGCCGCGTCCAGGCCCCAGTGGGGTCTCGTTATTTTCCTTCGGTTCCTCCTCCTCCTCCTCCTCCTCCTCCTCCTCCTCCTCCTCCTCCTCCTCTTCCTCTTCCTCCATCGTCTCGAGAAACCGAAGGCGGATGTTCGTTGTCATAGTTGTCGACCCCTGATGGACCCTTGCACGGCCCTTGGACCTATGAGGAGCACATCCGGGAGTTGGCGGCGCGCGCCTGGAGGTAGGGGGCGGGAAGAAAGTTTCTTCGAAGGAGGCTGCCCTTAGAAGGCGCCGGCCTTCGAAGGCCCGTGCCTTCTAAGAAGCGGGGGTGTCTCTACGAAACCTCCCCCCTTCCCCTAACCACCCCCTCTGTGCGTGGCCGGTGGAGGAATGGGTCCAAACCTCTTCGGGGACCCCCGTACTGAAAAACCGAAGCCATAGGATTTCCCGACCACCGGGTCTGACTTGTTCAAACTCCGGGTGTTGGTCCTCGAGCTCGGCCCTCGGGGGTCGTGCTCCGGAAGTTCTCGGGGGCGGCCAAGAGGGGGGCGTCGAAGAAGGGGGGAAGCTCAAATCATGGCCGGCGGCACGCGCGCGGCCCAAGGGGGGGGGACCGGGGACGTTTTGAAAGAAGAAGAAGAAGAAGGAGGAGGAGACGGAGGAGGAGGAGAAGAAGAAGAGGCGCCATGAAATCAGAGGAGAGCGGGAGAGTCCGCCCTGGCCCGCGCCAGCCCCTGGAGCGTCGTGGAGCAAGCCGCGGCGGAAGGTGTCGTGTCTGTCTTGCGGCGTCTGGCCTCCAGCAGGGGGTCCTCACCCGGGGCCCCAGGGCCGTCAGGCAGAACGGGAGGGAGGAGGAGGAGGAGGAGGAGGAGGAGGAGGAGGAACGAGGAACGAGGAACGAGGAGGAGGAGCGGGTCGGAACGAGGCAGAGCCCTCGGGGAAGGGAGTCCCGCCACGCGGGGGCCCACGCCGTGGAACACATGAAGGCCTCTGTGCCGCGACCTCGCGCTGCAGACGGCATGGGGACCTCGAGCCGTGGTCTGCGCGGGCCGCCAACGCGCGCCAGGTCGGCGCAGACGGCCCCGCTCGTCTTGCGTCGCTCACAGGTCGTCGAAGGCCGACAGCGGCCGCGGTCGGGCAGGCGGCCTCCTGCCTCGAGGGGGCAGGGCCCGCGGCGACGCCGCCGGCGAGGCCTGCTGAGAGGGGACGAGAGAATCGCGGTCGCGCTTCGTGCCCTTTGTCCCACCACCCTTTTGGGCGACAGGTGGTCTAGGGAGGGTCCCTTTCCTCTTCCACAGCCCCCCTTTCCCTTCGGGGAGGGGACCCCGACCCCTCCCCTCCCCTCCCCCATTCGGCTTGAGATGGCCACGGAGCCTCCCAAGCCTCCCTCGCTGTTTGACTGTGCGTGTCTCTTCCTCTCTCCCCCCGTCAACTCTCACTCTCATGGGCATCGTTTCTGGATGGGCTGGTAGAGGAACGCGAAGCTAGAGGCCTCCTAGATGGAGTCCGAGTAGATGAGGTCGGATCGCGCCGCATCGGCGATGCATCAACGATGCATCGGCGACGTCGGCGTGGAGAAATCGGGTTCCGCATCGAGCCGCATCGTCGATGCATCGGCGATGCGGCGCGATCCTTCGACCCCATCTACTCCGACCCCATCTAGGAGGCCTAGAGGAGCGTCCAAAATTTCCGTACCCATGTCAGTCGCCCCGAGTTCTCCTGGGGGGTCTGTCCTGCGCCACGGATCCGTCTTCGACTTGGAGCCAGGAGAGCCCGAGGGCGCGCCCCGAGAGAGAGACCCCAGAACCGAGGAAACACACACGCACGCACACACACACACACACCCTCCGAGGGAGCAAGCCACGACGTGGGCGCAGCCGACGCCCTCCATGGGCGGTGGGGCAACGATAAGGGGGGGGGGGCGGGCACAATGTTAAGTCGGTCGTGTCCCCCTGCAGGCGGAACTTGGACGAAAAATGAAAACATGCTCCAGATTAGTAACAAAAACTAAGTTTGAAGATCACCCCTTGAGAGGGACAGGTCCGACTTGAGCATAGTGGGGGGACGCACCGACCTGGAATCGGCAACACGTCGCCGGTAGATCGGCGAGAGGCCCCCGACGGTGCATCCGCACCTTCCTGGGCAGGCTGGGGCCATCGGGCCCCCCTCGGCGATCCATGGGCGATTGGGGGTCGCTGCATCCCCTCCCCCCCTAGGCCTATCCCCCTCCCTCTATCGTGGCCCCTCCTTGGAAGGGCTCCGGCTGGAGTCGCAGCGGGCGGCCGCGGCTTGGGCCGCCCCCCCCCCCGGGGTCGCCCGCCCGCACCAGCTGGCCAGCGGCGACCAGGCGCCGCGCCTTCTCGAGGACCGCCGGCTCCTGCGCCCTGCCGAGCGTTTGGGGGGGGGGAAGAGGGCAGGCAGGGGCGGCGGAGCCAGGCAGGCCCGAGGATCGAGGCTCGAGGCTCGAGGTGTGAGGAAATCGAGGCTGTCGGGGTCGCTTCTGGTAAGCTCCCCTTCTGAGCCTGGCCGGCGCCCCCCCCCTCCTCCTCCTCCTCCTCCTCCTCCTCCTCCTCCTCCTCCTCCTCCTCCTCCTCCTCCTCCTCCTCCTCCTCCTCCTCCTCCCTCCTCCTCCTCCTCCTCCTCCTCCTCCTCCCTACCTCCTCCTCCTCCTCCTCCCCTCTCCTCCTCCTCCTCCTCCTCCTCCTCCTCCTCCTCCTCCTCCTCCTCCCTCCTCCTCCTCCTCCTCCTCCTCCTCCCCCCGCGGACCTTCCGAGGCTTGCCCAGAGACCTCCGCGGGCCCCGTCGGAGGACGGGCGTTTCGGTGGCCATCGCCGGCAGCGTGCGTATCCTCATCCTCATACCCATTATTAATCCCCATCCACATGCCAATCCCCATTCCCATTCTGATTCCCATCCCCATCATCGTCACCACCACCATCATCACCGTCATCAGCACCACCACCACCACCACTACTACTATCATCATCATCAGCATCCTCCTCGTCATCATCATCATCATAATCATCATCATCATCAGCAGCAGCATCATCGTCGTCAATACTAACACCATCACCGTCATCATCACCGCCATCAACAGCTTCGCCATCAGCATCTTCACCACCATCATCACCATCATCATCAGAATCATCATCATCAATATCACCATCACCGTCATCATCATCAGCAGCAACAGCAGCAGCAACAGCAGCAGCATCATCACCAACATGATCGTCGTCATCCGCACCGTCATCATCATCACCTTCATCATCATCATCATCATCATCATCATCACCAGCATCAATATCAGCATCATCGTCATCGTTATCGTCGTCGACGTCGTCATCGTCGTTGGCGGCTTCGGCGTCGGCGTCGGCGTCGGCGTCGGCGTCGTCATCGTCATCGTCATCGTCATCGTCCTCGTCATCAGCCCTCAGGATCTGGGTGGCCTCCAGAGCGCCCCTCGCGAGGCCCAAAGAGCACCCAGGGAGGGTCCAGGATGGCACTGGGGGCGCCGTGACCCAAGAGATTACCCGTGGCGGCCTCCAGAGGGGGCCTGGCGGACCTCGGCAGGCGCTGCTGGGGCGGCGATCGCGGGCAGCTCCTCCAAGTCTCTGCTCGGATCGCCGCGGGGGGTTCTAAGGTGCTAGAAGCGGATGCTCTGGTGGACTGTATCTGGCCGAACCTAGCCTGCAAGTGGGCTGCACGTGCTCTCGGTGTGGCTAAGGGGTGTTCGAAAACTGTGCCAAGTGGGCTCCACCCACTCAGCCCGGAGCTGTACGCTCTTCAGCCACTTAGCTAGGGCACTTTTGCAGCCATGCCCTCGCCTAGAAGTAGGGCTGCAGGTGCCCTAAGGAGATTAAGAGAATACAGGTCCAGGATAAGTGGGCAGAATCCACTTGGCGGAGTTATCAAATCCCCTCTAACGCAATTGAAAGGACGTGCAGCCAACTTACAGGTTAGGTTTGGCCAGAAATAACCCACCTCTGCGACTGCGACTGCGACTGCGACCCGCATTGCGCACCCTGTAGGTGCCGCGGGTTGGGGCCGAAGCACCCATTACATATTAGATCGCCTGACAGAAATCTTGCTCTAGATCGCGCCATGCATCTCGCGTGGCACACCTCAGGAGTAGATGAACAATACATCGCGCTTCGCGTCCGTCTGCGAAAGCCTTCTGTTCTTCCGGGGTCAACGCTTCTTTGTGCTTTGAAATGAAATGAAAGATGTCGTCAATCCAGCGACGCTTTGGTCGGTGAGGGCGTCTTTTCGCATATAATTCAACGTGCTGACACGGATCCCAAGATACAGCCTGGCGCATCCACTCCCCGGGCGCCTTGCATGCAACTTTTGCGAACCACCACCATTTTCTTCGACGTTGTAGTGTGATCCAGTCATCAATGTGCAAGGATTTGGTGTACTCCTCCACCTCTCTCGTACTGCGTTTAATCCATTCTACCCAAGGTTCCAAATATTATTGAAGGTGCTCTGCTGCGGGTAGTTCTCCATGTTTTACTCCATCGCTGTCCACGCCGTCGTCGCTGCTTGTCGTTGTGTGTTGTCCTCTCTTCTATCTCTGATCCTTCAGCTTGTCGTACTTCTTTGCGACGTGGCGTCTGGATGATCATTATCAGCATGTGTCTTTGCGTTCGTCGAACTCTGTTTTCAAGTTCCGCTGTCCTTGTCCACGCTTCGCAACCACATAGTAATGTCGGCGTAAGAACACCATAAAATAAACGCATGCGGTCTTTTCAGAGAATACCTGCGTCCAACAAGCTCCTGCTTCAAAGAATAAAACCTTCTCCAAGCTGCAGC